GAGGGAGAGGGAGAGGGAGAGGGAGAGGGAGAGGGAGAGGGAGGGAGAGAGACACACAGAGAGAGAGATCTATAAGCACTGGCAGAAAGAGCTGAGGAAAACTACTGAACTAAACCAGGCGTATATAACAGACAAACAGAGACTGTGAAGAACACATGTAATTAACCAGAGGGAGAGGGAGAGGGAGAGGGAGAGACACACAGAGAGAGAGATCTATAAGCACTGGCAGAAAGAGCTGAGGAAAACTACTGAACTAAACCAGGCGTATATAACAGACAAACAGAGACTGTGAAGAACACATGTAATTAACAATTAATTACTCCGTGAAACAATGTAAGTAATTCTCTTAAGTTTCGCTGTGTGCCACTTTAAAAGGTCTAACTAATGAAATCACAAAAACACTTAAAATCACCCACAGCAGTGATGTTTCAGTCATATTTATATACGATTATAGTCTTTGTGGTTACACTTTACTTGAAGGGATGTGCATAAGACTGACATGACACTTTCATAATCATGACATGTGTAATATGAAGGAGGGTTTATGCATGTTTATGACAACTGTCATTAAGTGTCATTCGCTCAGTTATGTAATTTTTAATGCAAAGATGACATTGTTTGAGATGTCTTTGTTATGGGTTAGGGTTAGGGTTAGGTCAAACAATGTCATCTTTGCATTAAAAATTACATAACTGAGCAAATCACACTTAATGACAGCTGTCATAAACATGCATAAACCCTCCTTCATATTCATGACGTGTGTCATGTCAGTCTTATGCACACCCCTTCAAGTAAAGTGTTACCGCATTTGTTAATATTTTGAATTAGCTCTTATTTCTATATTTTCTGTTTTTAGTCATTTTAATTTGAAATACTTCTATTTAAATTAATTTTTATTTCAATTTGAGAAATTATAGTACTTCAACTTAAACTTATATTTAAGTAACACTTCCCAGTTTTAGTTTTTTGTTACTTTAAAAAATATATATTTTAATCTAATTTTTTGTATATTAATACATACAATTTAAATTTAAATTTTAGTTTGTTTTATTAATTTTTATGTGCTTTTGTCATTTTTTTAAAGATTTTTAAAAAACATTTGTATTTAGCTTTTTTAAAGTTAGTAATTATAGTACTTCAACTTAAATTTATTTGATTTCAGTTAGTTGCCATTATGTCTAATTTCCATTCAACTTTTTAAAGATCTTCATCTAATATTTAGTATATTACTATATTAGTAAATGTACTATAACACTTAGTTTTCATTTTAAATTTAGTAATAATAGTTTCATCTAATATTTATATTTTATTTTATTTTATTTGAGCTTTATTTCAGAACCATTAAAACCATAAAAACATTTTTAATAGACTTAGATTTATTAACACCGTTTGAAAGCCGCGTCTCTCAGCAGATCCCTAATATATCTGCTCATAGACGGATCCGCTGATAGACGCTCCCGTGTGCATCTGTGTAAGCGCTCGGTGAAGAGCGTGAAGCGACGATCATTGTAGCCAATCACAGACAAATCTGTTGAGCACGTGAACACAATGGCCAATCAGCGGTGTTTAAGAATTCGCTCAAAATGCTGGCGGGATTTTTTTTGTGGAAATTTTGGAGGGCCCCCCACAGACAGAACAGTCCGAGGTCCACTCATGCGGTCTTACCCTCCTCTGAGAGCTGGTGCTCACTGGTCTCTTTCTCCATCTGACTGCACCAGCCCTCCATCCGGCCCGTCTCGGCCTGCAGGAGCTTCAGGAACCAGTGACCGTCCCGCCGGCATGCTGTGGCCCCCATCAGCGGCTGGGTGGGGCCCCCATTCCCCGTCCCGTTCCCGCTCTCTAGCCAGGGGTCGGGCGGCGGCAGCGAGGACGGGTCGAGGGCCGGATCCAGACTCTCGGAGAAGGACGAGGAGCTGCTCTGCGTGGTCGAGCGATGGGTCAGGATCTGTCGGGAGGGGCCGCTGGTCGTCACAGAGACATCGTTGTCATGGTTACCGTTGTCGAGGGAGAGCTGCGGAGGAGAGTCCACCGATTGGCTGGCGCTGTTGACCATGACTTTCTTCTCGGTGTGTTTGGAGTTGGATGGGAACGTCAGCGATGTGAGCGAGAGATCTTGCGTGTCTGAGTCCGTCTCTTGTCGAGAGGCCATACTACTGGAGCGGCTGAAACTAACACACACACACACACACACACACAGGTTTGTTTTTGTGAAAAGTGGGGACATCCCATAGGCGTAATGGTTTTTATACTGTACAGACCATATATTCTATTGCCCTACACCAACCCTACCCCTCACAGTTCAAATGAGGTCACTTAAAAATCATATCAATTACGCGTCCAACTCCAGACATACTAAACTACACACAGTCTCCCATTAGATTCAGTTTAACTAGGAACTGCAGAAACTAGGCCATATTTGAGCGGACGCATGGAAACGTGTGTCCCGTCGAGCGACTACAGTTTGGCTCGGGCTTCTGGCGTCTTCACAGGCCAGTGATGCTGGCATGAACTGACATCAGATACACGGAGACAAAATTAAAGACAAGCGGGATAGAGCGTTATTTTAAAAGAAGTTGAGTAGATCTCAATTAGTTGTTTTCAGTCTACACTAAGAATGCCACTTCAAAATTAATTAATATAAAAAACTTTTAAACTTGACAAAGAAATATTCAAAATTATTCAATTAACGTTTTCGATAATTAAGTGAAACGTAACAATAATAAAATCATTTGAAATGTAATTATAAAAATGTAATTTTAATATTGTTCAAAATCGTTTAAAAGTTTGGATTGAATCGGTCAGATTTTTAAAAAATGTTTTTGAAAAAAGCATCTTCGGTTCAGCAAGGCTGCATTTATTTAATTAAAATACAGTAAAATTAGTAATACTGAGAAATATTATTTCGATTTAAAATAACTTTTTTTTTTTGAATATATTTTAAAATGTAATTTATTTCTGTGATGGCAGAGCTGCTATTATCAATGTTAAAAAACGTTTAATATGTTTGTGGAAACAGATGCATTTTTTTCAAAAGTTCAAAAGAGTGGCATTTATTTGAATTAGAAAACTTTTGTATAATTATATCATAATTGAATTATAATAATTGAATGATAAATGTCTTTACTGTCACGTTTGGTCAATTTAATGCTTCCTTGGCGAAAAAAACTTATTCTTTTCTTTAAAAAAAAACTTAGTGATATGTATATATATATCTATATAGTAATTGCATTGTTATTACAATAATGTTATTGCAATCACTGCATTGTTTGCATGGATTCCCTACAGTCTTATACAGTTTTTCTGTTCAGATTTTCAGAAACAGAGCTGGTTGGTCCAAGGCTGCTGAAAAAGTGTCTGTTTCCTCTCGAGTAGTGTTAATTTCCTTAACGAAATCTATGACGAAAAATGCTTGTCAACAAAGTTTTTTCCCCTGACAAAAACGAGACGATGACGAGACGATAACAAGGTCATTAAACGATAACTGAGACTAAATGAACATGCAATATCGTTGACGAAAAAAGCAAAGACTAAAATGTAGTTAAAAGAACAAAAACTTTACCAAAACCTTTTTATTTATGTTGAAAATAAAGTGGAGCCAAAACATTTCAGACTGCTGTACAAGACTCTGTTATGCGAGCGTTCATGTTTGCGGTTGCCAGATATCAAGACCTCAAATCCCCCAACCAGAGTTGTATATCTGAAGCCTTTGTTTATTTAGCCTCTAATTGCTCCGTTTTATTTTGTGAAACCTTACTACGTATATGGAATAACCGTTTTATAAAAGCAATAAACCCTGTGAAGCCATGGTTTACAGTGAATTTATAACAGCTAAGGGGGTTTTAGGCACTCTGCTTCCCTTAGCTTCTTGGGGCTTATTGCTTTAATGCATACGAGTCAGTATTCTATTGATTTGTGCTTATTGGTGAAAGAGCAACTTCTGATGAAATGTTTCCACCGACTAAAACTAAAACAGGACAAGTTGACCAAATATGATAAATACTAAAAGTTACATTTGACACAGGACTAAACCCCCGTTCACACCAAGAACGATAACTATAACGATAACGATAGTAGCGTCCACACCAGCGAACGATATCGTCTGTTTATTCTAAGCGCACGTGCGTCTGCCGCTTTAATTTCTCGAGCTCGATATAGCAGGATGGATTCTGATTGGCTGTCAATGTTTGTATCGTTCATCAGCTGGAAAAAAATCGTTCTGAAAGTGATTCCAACGATATCGCTTCTCTTTGTCTTTATCGTTATAGTTGTGGTGTGGACTCTGCTATTCTTTAATATTGAGAACGATTTTTAGAACTATATCTTTATCGTTATCTTTATAGTTCTCGTGCTTGGTGTGAACGGGCCTTAAGACTAAATTAAAAATAGCTGACAAAATTAACACTGCTCTCGAGTTCTGTTTCGGAGACTTTACAGGGTTTATCGTACAGCGAGCAAGAAACAGTAAGCGAAACAAACTCACGTCCAGCCGTCCTCCACTTGAACTCCGATCGACTGGAATCTGGCCAATGGTGGCGTCTCTTCTTTAGCCTGGATTTCCTGAATACAGTCGACCTGCAAACGGCAATGAAACATCATGTATTAACATTCAATGATTCAAATCCTTTCGTACTAAAGTGTGTGACAGACTAAACTCACTTGAATCCCAATGGAGGAGAGTTTCCGTCGCGGGACGAGGTCTAAAGGGCGTTCGTCTGCAGCCTTCACCTGCTCATGATGGGACTCTCGGAGCGGCTTGGGAGAGATGACCACAGCCGCTGGGATCTGGGGTTCACGGGGCGGCGCTACAGGAAGCTGGGGTCGTGACCCTTTGGCCAGGCTGTCGAGGCTGTCGGAGGAGTTGCTGCGTCCTGATTGGCTGTTGACCTCGCTCTTGCGGTCGTGGTGGTCTGGGAAGCAGTCCTGCGCAGACTCGGTGCTGCTCTGCACGGTGACGGAGATGAAGGGTTTGGAGGTGGTTCGAGGGGGAACAGGAGGAGGAGCCACCCTCTTACAGGAGGTCATACATGTGGAGACTGCAAAAAACATAAAACTTTAGAGTGATGATGAGACTGATGGAAAGACATCTGACACTCAAACTCAGCATGCAAGATATGAAATCACTTTGGGGGTTGACGTGTTGTATTTCTGCATGTATGCAAGTACGCACACACACACACGCGCACACACACACGCGCACACACTTTTGAACTGATGCTGATAGCAGGAGACAGTATTTTCCCCATAATTTATATGCACAGCACTGTTTAACATAATAACTATAATTACAATTAGACTACAGTAATGAATCCATAACATACATGAATATATTCCTCTTATATAATATTATCTTGAAAACAACAATAGCATATATAAAATATATAATAATTATTGGTAACACTTTATTTTAAGGTGTCCTTGTTACAAGTTACATGTACTTACTATTATAATAACAATTAATTATGCATAATTACATGCAAGTAACCCTAAGCCAAACCCTAACCATATAGTAAGTAAATATAGTTAATTAATATTACTCAGTACTTATATGTATAATTACACTGTAACAAGGACACCTTAAAATAAAGTGTAACCTAATTATTTATTATTTTTTAAATAATATTTTAAATGCTTAATAATTAAATAATAATAACTAAATATGAATACATAATATGAATGATGAATATCTTAAAACAACTATAATGATAATATGCAGTATATAACCAATTATTGCTAATTATTTTTTAAATAATGATGATGTCGTGCTATCTAAATGGTAACAAATTCATTTTGATGCTATGCATTTATTGCTTCAAAATGAGAAAGTTGCTGCCGTAAAAGATTCAATCATTATTCACTAGTACTATTAATAGTAACAAAGATTACAAATATATATAAATTCTAATTTGTACTCCGGGTGCATATATTTATAAAATTGAATATTAAAGCTGACTCAAACACACAAACCTGCAAAGGCCAAGATCGATGAGCAAAATCAAAGGTTGCGTGCTTTTTTCCCGCTAACAACAACAACAACAATAATAGTATACTTTTAACAACAGCACTAACTCGCAGCTGGACTGCAAAACCACACTAAAACGTCTGAATGTACACTAGATGAGCTAAAATAAGCCATGTCTATGAGTCCACATTCTATTCATTTGTGCTTATTGGTGAAAGTGCACTACCTGAAATGTAAAAATTAATTTCTCAAATGACAACAATCTTTTTGACTAAAATTGAGCAAAAAATAAAATAAAATTACCAGTTTAATTTTATACAGCATGACGAAAATGTGACAAAGCGTTTTCATTGACTAAAACGCTCAGACATTTACCCCCGGTTTCACAGACAAGGCTTAAGCTGAACCGTCTCAAATGAAAATATCTTGCTCGGACATATCTTAAAATATGTCAGTGTCATTGTTCTGTGTCAAGATGCACACCTGTAATGTTTTCTTCCAAGGCATTTTTGTAAAAGTTGTAAAATCTCTTAATTTTAACGAAGGTCTAGTCCTGGCTTAAGCTAAGCCCTGTTTGTGAAACCGGGCCTTAGTCGGCTAAAACTTGACTAAACAAAAACAGGACAAGGTTGAATAAATATGATATTAACTAAAAAGTACATTTGACACCAGGACTAAAACCTAAAACTAAGACTAATTTAAAAGAACAAGACTAAATTAAAAATAGCTGACAAAATGAACACTAACTGTAATTTCAAATACTATTTAGGACGGATACTATGTGAATGGGACATATAAGTATATATGTCCAGCACCATTTGATGACATGGAAAACCAGAGGATAAAATATCATTTGGAAAGCAAAAAACAAATGACAGACGTGTTCTCTTAACCTACATGTTATCAAGCTATTCATGAACGGTCAGGCGGAAAGCTCTTCTGCAAACATTGGTTGGTAGATATTTGTTTGTGATTAAGGCGGGAGTGTTACGACTAGTTAAAGGCCACCAACAAATATATGTTCGCCTGCCTTAATATCTAAAAGCATGATCCCTAAAACACAACTCCATCACCCTGACGTTATAAAGCAACGTCAAATCCTACACTTTTGTTGTGAAGGCTAAATTTGCTTTTCAGCCCGTTTAAGCAAACTAAACCTCTTTTCACAACATGAATAGTAAAATTACACGCATGAGCGAAGCATCTGTGACATCAGCTGAGTCGACACTGGTGTGGTGTGTGTGTGTGTGTGTGTGTGTGTGGGGTGTGGTGTGTGTGTGTGTGTGTGTGTGTGTGTGTGAGCGATCCAGTGACTAATGATGACTTTATCATTCAGGTGTGGCCATATGATCGCAATAATCCTCCACTCACTTCAGTGTTCACACCTTGTCTGAAAGAGCAGTTCAGAAAGGTTTAAATCGCTGGAATTCAACAGTAAGCGGGCCATTATGAAATCAGCATTAGATGCAGCTGGTGTATTTTTGGAGCAGCTGCTGTAATGTCTGTGTCAGCATCCTAGATCGCCTGTTGAAAGACTCTCTACGCTTCTGCATAAATCATTCATTAGGCTAGAAATCCCGGGTTTCTGAAGAGCAATGCATTGTGAATGAAACGAGACATTTACTGAGCCATGAGGGAGTGTTAATAACTCACTGAAGAACTTGTTAATGACCATTTCTTTGTGCGAAACGCAAATCAAAAAAAGTAGTGCTTATTCTAGAAGCAAAGCACTACTTTGCTTAAGTAGCTTAAGTAGAAATCACTATAAACTTTGGATGGAAAGCTCTCTGTGATGATAGTTTTCAGTCAGGATGTGCAGATTGATCCCATTAGCCATTACTAACTCCTCTTATGCTGCGTCATGCCAAAGTTTCTGACTAGAAATAAATGTCAAACATTTAAAATAAAATAAATTTTTAAAAAGTTACAAAAAATTAAGAAAAAAACTTGACTTCTCCCACTTAACCATTAACAACACGTAAAAGCAACTACATTTCCCTCCATTTGGCACCAAATGTCTCCAAGATCTATTTAGGCTTACGATGCTTTTGGGAAAACGCAAATTTCAACTGTAAAATCACAATAAATAAACAATAGTTTTGCATTAAGTAAAAAAATACTACATTACGTTTATGAGAATATAATAACAATGAACATTGAGAATAATGACAATTGCAAAAAAAAGTTTAAAAGTAAAACATCCGAGTGTATTACTGAAGATACATTATAATTATCATGATAATATATGCAAATAAAAAATGCTAATAAAAAATGAATGAATGAATGTCTAATGGGAATATGTGTAGAGCTTTCTATCTAACTGGGGGAATCTCACGAATCTATTTCATATTTTGTTTTTTGTTTTTCCTCCCTTGGTTTTTGAGGTGAAACATGACCATTTATTTTTGGTAGCAACCTCTACATTACTATATTAGCCAATGCATGTATTCAGTATTTTGCGAGAGCATAAAGATGTGTATTAATGAGCGATTAAGTGCTCCGCTGTCATCAATGAAGCCACACATGACTCATTTTAGTGTTATGATGAACACTGCCATAGAAACGAGTCTGAGGATGTGAACAGCTCATATTAGTCATCTTGTAATTACATAAATCCTGTCAAAGTGAAAGCAGAGTGTGAATCTGATAGCGCCAGTATCAGTATGTGATTCAGAAGGTGCTGCTTTCTGTTGCATAGCGCCAGAAGACAAAACACCACTGTGACATCATCACCCAAACATCCCGCTCACGTCTGTGACATACATGCTGCAGAATTCCCGTGCATCACATTCCAGGTCTAGACAGGGCCTATTGTTGGAGAGGTCATGTTTGGGACAGTCATGTGACCTCAAAAGCAGGACGTTTGGTTATGATGTCAAGGTTTTCACCATATTGTTTTACTAGAGTGTTTCATGAGTTCTCATTTGATTTAGCATGCACTTTCAATACGCAGAAATGTGTGACTTTTAAGACAAACCAGATCTTATGAAAATATGAGCAAAAAAAAGATGGTTCTTTAAAGGTTCTGTACATGTAGTAACGGTTCTATTTAGAAGCATAGCATCCTGAAGAGCCCTTTTATGCTGAAAAATGCTTCTTTGCGTTAGAGTTAGTTTTTTTTAAATTCCTGCATTTTTGTTTTTCAAATCTATAACTGTCAAAGCACCTCATTACTGATTTTCTGGTGCTCATTTATTAACGTATTCTGCTAATAACTGTAGATAACATTTTTATTACGAGTTCACATGTCATTACAAAATAAAAGTACCTAAATGACAAAATGCTGCTGTTGTTTTTATGTAAAACCCTGATAGACGCTACAAGATACTGTAACACCAGGCATATAGAGGGGTAAAAACTATATTAATAATATATGCAAATAATATGAATATTATGATATAATTATACTAATATAAATGAAAATATACCATCATTAAAAAGGTTATTTATAACACCATTAAGGTCCCATATAGCATTTTCAAAGCATGGTTCTTTAGCACCAAAAAGGGTTCTGCTATTGTTACAAGCTGAAGAACCCTTTTACTGTACGGCACTTTTATGGATCTTGACCTTTCCAATATGGCAGATGTATTGTGGGAATGAGCACCCGCTGCTAATGTAGCATCTTTTGGCATTACTACCTTCTAAAGCCACAGAGCTTTGGTTTGTTCAATGCATACTGATTGCCATATCATAATGTTCACTTCTTAATTATTTTCTTTTAAATATACTGTACAATGAAACTGTAATGCATAATGACATCTGTTCCACAAAACAATCGCTCCAATTGAGCTCATTATGTTCTGCTGGACATAATATTCTAGACGCTTTAGGAAAAATCCCGACTAATAATACAGAAAACAAAAATAAGCAGCTTAACGTAGAATTAGTGCAACTGATGTAAAAATGCACAAATGACAATCAAGGTCATTGTTTTAGTTGCTTACTCAAGTGGAATGAACCGTCGCTGGAATATGAGCCCTAAATCAGAGCGACGCTGTGACCAACGCTGCTGGAATCTGTAAGGATTGGGCCATTATGTGGATTTGGCCTCTAGTGTGGGAAATGTGCAAA